GGGTTGCCGTTAGTGGAACTTGACGACAACGACTGAGATACCAACCGATCTGGGCGGGGTTGTTGTAGCCGCTACAACAACAACAACAACCGAAGGCTGCCTACGCAGTAAGAAGTGTTGCACAAAAATACTGTGGATAGCGTAGTCGTTGTTGGTCCGACCGGGTCTTTGTTTTACACTGTATAGCACGGATTGAAGACATGATTTTGTATACCAAAATAAAGCTTTTTTATATACTATTGAATTATAAAACTTTAATATATATTTAATAAGGCAATTTTTAAAAAAACCTGCGTTTGATTAACATTTTCTGTAACTTTTTTAGTTAAATTGAACTATTGCTCAAAATTTATAAGATGTATATACATTTGTATATCGTATTAAAGCCATTCATATTTCCTATTGAATGACATAAAAAATTCTGAAATCCGTCCTTTCGTTTTCGAGATATTTAGATTTAAAAAAATTATTAATTTGACCTTTGACCCTTGGTAACTCCTGTGGTTCCCGTTTCTCATAAAAAAAAAAAATTATACCGTTATGTTATACCTGCTTCAAAAACCTCTATCGACGTCCTTGTTCAAAATTTGTCGCCCCGTTTATTGTAATCGGGACCTATGTGTGGTTTTGTACTTTAAACGATATGTTTCTATATATGTGCATATATATGTACATGCTTACCTGGTAAATTTTAAGAGACTTGGTTGAAATACCAGCGAAACTCTACATGGTGCTTGCGCCATGGAATGTATAAAACGACGCGCCCAACGCTCACAATACGCGATTCCGAAGTCAGCTAACCTATAGAGGACGAAGTCCAGAGGTTCATTAAGCAACCTCTGGACCCGAGAGCGTACAGACAGGCCCTGAACGGCATTCACAGGGACTCAGTCTCGAGTTATGTAGACTCTAGACCTGTGAATGCCGTTCTAGGCATACCACCCCCGGACATTGACGAGACAGAGCTTCATCTGCCTCGGGAGACACGCACTACACTCGCTCAACTTCGCTCCGGCTACTGCAGCAGGTTAAACTCCTACTTGAGTAGGCTGAATGAGGATGTGCCGAACGAATGTCCGGCATGCGGAGAGACCCCACATGACTCGAACCATCTCTTCGCATGCCCGGAAAACCCGACAACCCTAACGGCCTTGTCCCTGTGGACAGATCCCACAGAAGCTGCACGCTTCATAGGGTTGCCGTTAGTGGAACTTGACGACAACGACTGAGATACCAACCGATCTGGGCGGGGTTGTTGTAGCCGCTACAACAACAACAACAACAGGACTAACATTGACTACTAAGTCTATGTGCAACGACCCAAGACGTTCAAGAATTAAAAAAAAACTGTCCTACTTGCAAGTCTAGTACAAACATCCCTTGGAATGTATTCATTAACAAAATTACGAATTCACAAAAATCCTAACCAACACTTTTTTCGAAACTGCGTTTTCAACAGATTTTGGTGGGATGTATAAAATACTCTACACTAAAAATTTTAAAGTGCTAATACCAAAAACAACGCAGTTACATGTCACTTTTTAAAAAGCCCGACTTGTTCTTGATACTATTTTTTATGTTTTTTGCTTCTCCTATAAAATAGAAAATATGTGGGTTACGGCCTTTATACATAGTACATACATTGGGCCGTATGAAAAAACTAAGCAACTATTTTTTCTTAAAACTTAATACCTTTTACTTAAATTTTGTTTGAATAAATCGAGTAAAAGGTTTGAAATGTTAAGAAAAAAACCATTAATTGCTTATTAAGGAGAAGGTTATCAATTCGTCAAAATATTTTTTTTTATGTACATTTCGACCCCCTTGCGCAAAATTATCGCATAATACATTTTTTTGAAATTCACTTTTCGATACAACTTCATCACCATCACCTTCTCAAATATAACGGCTGGAATCCCAAATGGACTGTCGATTTTATCGTATGTTGCCTGTGCAAATATAGTGCATTCAATAAGAACCAAAGAAACACCTAAGATTCCGAATGTAGTAATTTATGAGGCCGATAAGAGCCTCAAAAAGAGTCTGAAATGATTCATATATGAGGAAAAAATTTGTTTTAAAAGAGTCCAAAATGAGCCGTATACGAGGCCAATAAGAGTCCAATATGACTCATATTAAGGCCCATTTGATGTATGAATTTAAGCATGATAAAAGCATAGTAAGGTAAAACCTGAATTTAAGCTCATATATGTCGACCTTCGGAGGAAGGGAAATACCCTCATCTCGGACTCTTAAATGAGCTCTTTATGAGCGTAAAGGCTCTTAAATAGGACTCCTTAAAGCCTCATTTATGACTCCAAATGTTGCTAGGATGGGCTAAGAAATTAGAAAGTAGACCTTTCTACAAAAAAAAATCTTGCATTTAGTTATATTTCTCAATTATATCAGCAAATCTAAACTTTGGTATGGATGGTGCTAACCAAAGCAGAGAAAAATACAAAAAACACTTTCCTGTAAAATTTGGTTTTTGTAACATACGATAATTTTGCGCAAAGGGGTCGATATGTTACTGCGTAACCTTGGACCACGTTAACCGATTTATATAATTCTTTTTTAAAGAAAATGTGTTGCCTCAGAGGTGGTCCTATACTAAATTGGTTTATATGCGATAATTGGATCATGATGAAGAAATTAACGATAATCTTGAATTTTTTATAAGAGAATTGAAGTCGGTCTTGTTTTCGCTTAAAAATTACTTGTTTTTATTCATACGGCCCATTACCACTTGATTGTTTTGGAAATTATACATATCGACGGTACTTTGGCAAAACCTCGTATCTCAAAGCACTCTTAAAAAACTCTTTTTACGAAAGAACTGCATATTAATAACAGAACATCAATCATTTTTACTAACTTTTTAACTGAATATTTAAGATTAAATACATTTTAGTTAATTACGAATAACAATGAATAGTAGTATTTTAAGGCCTATTTTGAATTAATTTTTACGAGACACGTAGCAGTGACTTCTGACATACGTTGGGCAAATTACCGTCGATATTCTACATACATACATATATTTTTCCAACATAAAGCCTTGAAATTCAAAATATATATATGTGTAGTCGCATATTGAATCATTTCGTTCATCAACATACATACATATGTATGTATAGCGCGGTGCGGAAAATTGAGAGCCATAAAACTAAAGTGGTACATTTGCTGTCGTCCACATCTGCCTGAAACGCTTTTTCATTGCGTGTGCCTTTTTTCGTATGCGTTTTGCTGTTGTTTTTGGTTTATACCAAGGCGGATAGGAACCATGTTGATCCTTCATTGTTTTACTATTGTAGACATGTACCTTTCCAGTTTTTTCATTTATTTCTGTAAAGTTCTGACCTGGCTCCCGACGTTCTTCCATTTCATGCTCCAGTTCTTGTTCTTCACGTGATTTATTTTCCTGTAAAGGACATGTAAACATATCGTAAATATTTTTATTTCTTTTGATAATAATCTCTTTCCACATACTTGTTTCAACTCCTTTGCAGTTTTAACTGTGGCTATGTCAGAAACGTCTTTCAAAATTTCATTACCATCAGCATCAATAATGCCGAGTGTTTTCTTGAGGCGAATGAGCTCTTTTGCCTCATATCGGGCTTTTTTAATTTTATTCATCTCATCCCGTCGTTTGCGGGAGCGATTTAAGCGGCCCATTTCGTAGGTTTGTGGAAAAAGAAACTATTTTAAATAAGGATAAAATAAATGTAAACACGTGTGATATGTTTAGAGATGCTTACGATGAATCGATATCTTGGAAACGTAAAATCGTTTCAAAATTCGAGATCGATACTTACAATTTCCTATTATCTCTAAAGAGCGAAATACACCACACAAGCGGTTTGACAAACCAAGCGA